CTGCTGGCTCTGAGCGATTTACAATTACACAGGTTTTTCACAAGGGACTAACAATGATAGGGGTAAGGGAGGACAACATATAATTCTTTAAATTGCACACATTTGCAGCCGACGGGGATTTTGTTCAGCTATAGGCTTCAGTTGTGGTCCGGGCATTCATTTCGGCTTGGCTTGATGACGTTGGTTCTTCCTGGGCTGCTTTTTTTTGAGTCGTAGCGCCACACTGCCACCGCCTGGCCGGATTGGCCCATTACAGGCTTCTTGATGCCGAAGAGGTCTTTTTTCCAGGCTTCCGAGCTGGACATTCCATTCGCCAGCTAACACCTCCCCTACGGGAGTTTAGTATCCATTATGTAGCTCATTAGGTGACCTTGCGCCAGTCTTGCTCTTAGCTAGCACAGCTCAGGACTATTCTGAGGGTAATGGGGGGGGGGGCACCAAGCACATTAGTGCCACCCAGCTGCATCAGGCCAAAGGTCTACCTAGTGCAGCACCCCATTTCCCGCAGTGATCAGATGCCCAATCAGACATACATTCGTCATTTGATGCGACTGTAACTGCAGTCAACATGCATGTCTGAATTGGCCACAAACTCTAATGACAAAAGGTGGCTTTGCCAAATTCTCTGTTTACCCGGCTGTTTGCCGGACGGCATGCAGCAATGACAAACCTGTAGTAGGAGAAACAGTCCCACTGGACTGTGTGAGAACATGCATGTATTGTACTCTCAGAATGTGCAAACTTGGGGAACAGGCTTGATCTCCTCGGAAACGGCCAAGCTATTCCCCCGAAAACCAGCTCCCTGTTCTCTTTGGCACGGCAAACTGGCAGGTGTTTGAGCATCTCTGGACCTATCCCCACCCACCCCTTACTGGAAGCCACTTTGGCCAGGTGTGCTGAATCACTCACTGAACCCTGACCACAGTTCAACTTGCTCCTTTTAGGCTGGGGACTGTTTAAGGGCAGCTTACTTCCCACACTATTAACCGTGTTTGTTGCACGGCTTTCTCTTGTAGAAATTGGATTCGAAGCAATAAAAAACAAAAACCCTGCCAGACCTGTTGTCCACAATGTGAGAGTAGGATGAATGTACATCATACAACCACTTTTTTTCAAGCACCTTCAATGTTTTGGGGGAAGCGAACCTCCACGGCCTAAAAAAGAAATCATCTTCATATTGGGATTGGTACACAGAAGTGGGCCAGCTGCTGAGGACCAGAACACTGCTGCTGACCCCCACCCATGCCCCTCCCCTGCCACATGTCTGCATGCCCTTGAAGTGTGCGCTTGAGTGTTCCTCCACCCCTACTCCCAGCATCATCGAGGGAAGGGCAGTGCAGGGGCAGTGCTTCTGGGGACCAAGGCAGCAGCTCTCCCCACTGAATGCAAAGGCCAGTGCTGTTGGGAAAAGGAAGTGCAGATGACGCAGGCGACTGAGCATGGGCAGTGGGAGGGCGGAAAGGGGGGCATGAGAGGGACTGAGGGTAGGCAGATGGGGCCTCTGAGCATTGCCTGCGTAGGTTCCACCAACACCTGAAACTAGCCCTGGATCTTATGCCTACAGAAGTTGTGTTTCACCACCCAACACCAGCCTGCTATCTTATTCTGGGACTCCTTGGATCACAATTGGAAAACCAGCCAAGTCCCTCAGATTATCAAGGGCTCCTAAAATGAGAAGATCCACAATGGTGCAAGTTCCACCAAAGGACAGTTTGCCTATTGATGCCCAAATCTGTGCCTGCGTGCTCCCGTTGCCACCAGTCTCCTCTTGCAACGTGGGGCTACAGCATGAATAAATGAAGCTGCATTCATGTTCATTACGAAAGTTTAGTTGTTACTATTCGCATTCATTTTAATGGAAACAATTGCCAGTCATGTTAGATTTGGTGTCCATTTTGTATTCTCTACCTCTCTTCAACCTCTTGTACTCCCCCACCCCCACCCCGAGATCTTTACTCCTATTCTAACCTCTAAGCCGGAACCACTTGGTGTAAACATGGCAGGGGAAATGCACAGTTCTCTTCCATTGAAAGATCTGTTTGACTCTGATGGCTGGAAAGCCTTGATGTCAGTTGCATATCTCCCAATCTCTCCCGGATCCCTCTTCCCTCTGGCGGGAATCTGAGAAAGCAGGAAACGCACAGCATTCCGTTGTTACCAAAACATACTTAACAAATGTAATCCCCTCCACTTTCATCTATCCCTACTGGGGCCCACATTCTGTTCCCACACAGAGACCACTCTGTATAAATGGCATGCATCTTGCACTGAGGACATCCTTGGAAATGTCCGCTGCTTGCAGGGAGTTCATCGGCAAATATATCCAAGGGGTAAAAGGTTCCATGACCCAAGCTAGTGTGAAAGTCAACTTCCAGTTCACTTAAACCAAGACAAAGACGACAGCTAGTCTTATGTACAGCAGGGACCAGGTGGTTGGGGAGTTGGGAAGCAAGACCCATCATAATGAATTGGTTTGAAATGTTGGTCATTTAATAAAATTTCTCTCTTTAAGGTAATACTAAATACAGTCCATACAACAATTAGTTTGGAAAGGGAGTCAAGGAATGAGAAACAAAACAGCCAAGGTTTGTCCCCCACCCCAGTAAAACTCAGGACAGGGGTTTCAGCCCAAACCATTGCGCTGTTGGTGTCCACCTGTCTCGGGAGAGAAATAATGCCAATTCTACCACCGCTAGGACAGCCAGTGTGGTGTGGCGATTAAAGTGTCAGACTAGGATCTGGGAGATCCAGGTTTGAATCCCCACTCTGCTATGAAGCTTGCTGGGTCAGTCTCAGCCTAACCAGCTTCAAGGGTTGGTGTGAGGGTAAAACGGAGGAGGGGGGAGGGACCAGTGTCTGCTGCCCTGAGCTCCTTGGAAGGGAGAGATTAAAATGTAGTAAATAAAATGGGGCGGGGTGTGGGTTTGCTCAAAATATCCTCCCAAACAGACCCACTTTCCGCACAGTGAAATTGCTCCACGCTTGCCTCCAAAGGTGGGTTTCTTTTGAACCTCATCTCCAGGGCTCTGCAGAGCTAGGACATGCCAGCATCAGACATTCAAGGTGCTGGTGATTGGATGGGCTGGTTTCTCTCCCATTTGGCACCTCTGCGGTCCATGTACTTTGGCCAGAGTACCCACCTCCCACATCAGCTCATGGTGCGGCCTTGGGAAGGTCATTTGAAAATGGTGACCTACCTCAAAGGGTTGTTGTAAAGGTCAACATAAGTAAAAACCTGCTCTGTACAGTTTTAAGGGAAACACAAGGAAGCAGAAGGGTGCCATCCCCAAAATGCTCAGGAAAACTCCTTAAGGATCGTCCATCCAATGGGCAAATATTTGATGCGCCTGAATGACTTCTCCGGAATTTCCTGGGGATTGCGCCTTTTCCCACTGTGGGTTGGTGCGGCTAAATACCATTCAGTGTGCTCTAAGAACACCGACAGTTCTGTAAACATCATCCATCTTACTTGAACCTCATTCTGTAGGGCCAGGAGGACAACACATGTGCAAATGTGTAACATCCCAGAGAAGCAATTTTTTAAAAATACCCACAGATGACTACAACACACACAGAGACACAATGCAAGCCTGCAATATGCCTTGCTGCCCTTTGTCTGGGCTTCGTGCCATGCTGCTTAGGGGATCCTCACGGTGCTTCATGGGAATACATGCGAGTTTAAAAAAACATTTGATTTACAACAGATGCACTGTGAATTTGGTTATGTCCCTCACAATGCCAAGCAGCTAAATAGTTCCCCATTTTCCTTCTCTTTTTGTGAAAGCAAGTTACTAGACCTCATGACTGAGGATTTAAGAAAAACAAAGCCGCATGAATGCTAATGCTACTTAGGGTAGCCTTTGAGGGTTTTGAGAAAACAGGGTGTACACACATGGATATGAAGGTAATTATCCTGATTCTAAGGCTGATACCATCTCCTATGACTGGCACAAATTCCCCATGAGCCCCAAGACCTTAGGGTGAGGTGCCAGAGACTGACCCCAGGACCTTCTGTCTGTAAAGTAGGTGCTGTACCTACTGAGTCACTTCACCTTTGCCCCCTTCCGTGTAAGTTCTTGAATCTGGACAAGACAGTGACATAACCTTCCTGCAGCCAAAGCAGCCTTCTTCCACTGGAGGAAGAGCCACTGAAGTGGGAGGAAGGTGCCACGCTTTGCTCAGCTGAATGGTAAGGTAGGGCTACGATCCACCCCGTTACTTTAAAAGTGTAAGAACTAACCTTTTTCATTTTGAAGCACCTCAGTCAATATGAGGAAAGTTTGCAAAGATAATCGAAACTTCAAGACAGGCCTGACAAAATCCATGTGAAGTTCTTTTTTTACTCTCATTCATCACAGAGACAGCAGCACAGAGGTGGAATTATCAGAAGTGCCAACAATTTCAGAACTGGGTGCCCTTCAGCCATTCCAGATGGGACCACTCACAAGTGAATTCCCGCAAAAGAGAACATCCCCCATAATCCCTTTCTTGCGGCAAAGAATTATGGGGTGTGCTTGGGGAAAAAAGAAACTGGTCACAGAGTGCCTAATTAAGGGTAACGAAGGTGAAATTCACTGCCATGCATAGAACACAGAAGCACAGGTGCTTCCATTGAAGTTACAAGAAGAATAAAGTCTGAAGGAAATATTCGGGGTGGGGGGGATAGTGGCATACACATGTGTGCAGCATAAATTATATCAGTGTTTACCCAGTGGGGCTGGATAGCTAACTAGAGAATGCTTAACTCCAGACTGCCACCAGCAGTGAGGTATTTGGGAATATGACCCATGGCAAAGGTTCCGATTCTATCCCATCCACATTCAATAAGAGAGGCAACAGCTAAGCCTTCTTTCCTACTCACTGATCAGTCACGATCCGGGGCGGGGGGAATTGAAATCATTCCCTGGATCAAAACCAAGCCATTATCCAAGATCCTCCCCACTGTGGCACAGCCCCCCCCCCCCCAACAAAAAAACTGTGGCACAGCCCCCCCCCCAAGCAACAGCATTCAAAAACTAGTACAGCAGCATTGGAGTCTCAGAAATTCTAACACCCAATCAGATAATGTATAGAGAAATGGCCACTCTGTGATTGGGTGGGAATGAGGGAAATGATTAGTGGTAAACATCCATTTGTCTTTTAAAATTCATGGTACTTTTCTGTTGATGTTTTTGTTGAATTCACATTCTATAGTGATTTGCATTTTTGCTGTCTTATATTTTTATATCATGTATTTTTCTATTACAGAATTGCCTCCCCTCTAAAATGGGCTTTGTGGTGGTCTCCCAACCCAGGGCTTGTTGGCAGAACACAGGAGGGAAGCCATTTGGTACAAAAAGCTGCAGGTTCTCCTTCCCCTTCAAGCTACTGCCTGAAAGGTTATAATAACGTGGGGAAAGACACACAGGTTATGAGCCTAGGCAGCAGCAAGCTAACATGTGGAACCTGCAACAGATGGATCAGCAAGACTGAAAGTAACTCAGGGGGGGGAAGCCTTGGATTTGAAATATTTTGATTTCTGCAGTTTCCATCCTTTTACACAAAAGGTTGATAGGGAATGGATCTCTTGGTTTTTGCAGCAATGCCCAGTGAGACATGGGGTTTTCCAAAGACTACGGAAAACTAGGAAAGCAAGGGGCCATGTCCTTGTCCCCCCCCCCCCAAAAAGCAAGCCAATCAGAGATCACAAATGCATTAATTGTCCAGGTGCCATCTGAACAGCGAGAGGCAGCGGATCGAGCAGACGGCATGGAGGCGATAGCAAACAAGAGCTGGTGAGTGAAGCAAGCCCCCCCGCAAGCCAACAACACTTGTTCATTCGACAGATTCACTGCAAGGAGGGGTTCTAACAGTCGGGCATCTGGGCATGTTGCAACGGGCGCTCTCTTTATGAGGTCTGTGGTTTGGGAACGTTCCTACGCGGAGTGCTTGGCGCACAGAGTCCACAGCATGTTCGGCCGGAGGTCAGGGGTGCAGCTTGGGGGGTGAAGGATGCAAGGAGGAGTCATCAAAGAGTGGGTTTTTCACCTCCATCTCACCAGTCTGCAGCAATTTCTGGAAAACAGAAAGATTGTAGGGAAAGAGAGAAGACGGAGGTGATTACAATATTGCCAAAGGAAGTTTGCAACTGCATCCCACCGTCCTATTAACCAAACAGTTAACCGTTTTGCAATCCTGCTTTTCAACAGACACGCAACCTTACAACACTGAAATGCAGAAGAAACGGATTTTAAAAAGCAATTTGACAATCAGTAAGCGCATTCCCAAGTGTATAATAAAAGAAATAATGAAGCCGTTTCAGCTTCCTCTAACCAAAATATCTGCCAAAGACTCTCTGCTTTTCTCCTAGTAAATCAGCTGCACTTGGCATATTCCCTTTGAGGGAGGGAATGCCACAGTCCAGGGGCCATCCTTGGAAAGGCCCTGTTTTTAGCAATAGCCTGTTAAATCTCTGACAGCAGTAACTCCGGATCTCTTCAAACACCTTCTGTTCATCATTTCATGAGGAATGGAAAATATATGGGAGAAGACACTCAGATCTTCCAGACACAGATGAAATTGAGTTTCAAGGTTAACAGCAGATCAGCAGCTGGAATTCTGACACAGGAGCTAGGTGCTTATCAGTACAGCTCTATTAATACTGGAACAAGATGGTCCCTTGGCCAGCACTAGATAAGAACCGAGGTGTCAGTTGGAAAATAGTTCCAGCTGGGTAGCCGTGTTACGGCCCTGACCTGGATGGCCCAGGTTAGTCCAATTTCATCAGTTCTCAGAAACTAAGCAGGGTCTGGTTAAATACGTGGATGGGAGACTACGAAAGAAGTCCAGGGTCCATACAGAGAGGCAGGCAATGGCAAACTGCCTCTCTGTTTGTTTCTTGCCTTGCAACCCTGACGAGGTCGCCAGAAGTTGCCTGCGACTTGACGGCCCTTTCCATCACATTCGTCTGTTGCAGTGAAAGAAAACAGGAGCTCAAAAGCCCTTTAAAATCCAGCAAAACAGATTCCACCGTAAGCTTTTGTAAGTCAGAACATGACTCTGAATCTTGAAAGCTGAAGTGGGAATATATTTTGCTGGAAGATGCCTTTGGGCTCCCATCGTCTGAAATTTCTGATTCCTGAATAATTGCTCCCATCTTGTTCTCAAAGATGACACAGAGCAACTCAGACAATTGCCTGTATCAAGTTAGGCTGGTGTTCATGTACACTTTCAGGTGACACAGAATTCTACTTTGGCCTGTGGGGTTCTGCGAAACCTCAGCATGGTAATGGACACTGGCAAACCTCAGAGCTTATTGAATCACACGTGCAGATGAAAAGCTCACAGTCAATTATGTGAACTGCTGGAACAGAATTGTATCCTGAGGTGTCACCAGGACTTAAAAAACAACAACAACAACCTGTGCAATCATGTCATATACCCTGAAAAAGAAAAATCCTGTGCCTCCTGAAACCTTGCTGCTGAAATTCCAAACACTGAACAGATACAATGGGAAGGACCCACTGACTCACCCCCCACCCCCCACTGGAAGCTTTGGCTCCTGAATCATTTACTTATGGGTCATCCAGTAGTTTGGCAGGGAGAAAAAGCATGGCTTGGAGGGATGGTTTGGAAGAAAGCCACCAACTTCAGACACAAAACTTTTAAATAACAACACTATATCTGTCTGCCCACGTTCATTCTGTGTGCTTCTGTATCAAAGTTTCTATTCTGTTTTGCAATAAGTATTTAAGTATTGCTGGATGTGAGCCGACTTGATTTGCTGATCTTGTTTTGGTTTTTGGTTTTTTAAAAATACAGTTACATGCTAAATGTTTACTGGCAATTGTCTCAGGGCTTTCCCCCCCGTTACGAACATAGTTTCATTTAATTAATTTTTTAGATTTTTATTGAATACTGTAAAGATAGGGATAGGGATAGGGAATAGGAAAGGGGGGGAAAGGGTTCAGAAAAAAAGAAAGTGCTTACAATTACTTCTACAGACACTATTACATTACATTAATAATTCTACTTATACAATCAGGTAATTCTTTATATTAACTCTAATCACTTAAGCCCATACATTTCTTGATATCTGCAAAAAACCATATTATTGATTTTACATCATAAAAGCATTCTATAACTTCTTTTTAAAAAGTATACAATCTTATTACCTTTTTAATACATTTTAATAAAACATTCCAGTTATTTAACCATGTTTAAATTGTATGAATTTTATATCTATGGATTCTCATATTCAAACCTCTTAATCATTTACTACAGAACTAATCCTTACTCATACAATGATGGATCCTTAATGTCCTACTGCTTCATTTAGTAATTGTTTTGGTAAACGTTCTACTTGGTGAAATTTGCAAGAAAGCTCCTGGACATGATCCTGTAAAAGGCATAAATTGTGCTGTATTGGAAGTGTAGCTGTGTTAAAAATGTCCTTTAATGTTTCCATTATCACTTGCAAGGTAGTCATTTTTCCCACGAAGCAACTTAGCTAGATAGCTGAGCCCACAAAGTTTGTTTAGACTAAGCCAGAGAATCCCCACTTTTCAATTTGCAACCAGTTAGATCAATAAGGGATACGGCAGTCAAAAATCTTCTAAGAATTGTAGTCCCTTTTGAATGTCAATTCCTTTAGTTTGAGAGCTGCTTCCAGATCAGGGGAGGGGGGAACAGTTCCCCCTCTCCCTATTATTTTTCTAATCCTTTTTACAGTCTGGTTAACTTCTTCAGCTCTAGTTCCGCAGGCATTTCATGAAAAAAAAGAGAACTTAGTTGCAGAATATCTTCTTATAGTTTACGTAGAAAATCACTTGATATAGAAGAATGCATAGTTTCAGTTCTTAAAAGTCCAGTAGTCACAACTTAGTGCTAAAATGGCGATTGCATTGGCTGGGGCTTCAGGGCAAAAAGGAGACTCCAAATCAAAGCCGCCGCCAAGATCTGGCTCCCTGTCATGCCCACTGCTTCAGGTATCCCTCTCCTGGGATACCCCTAGGAATCAAAAAAAACCAGACTCCCCAAATCTGCATAATAGGGGTGGCCGCTGGAGCAGAGCTCCGCGGCTCCCTCCGATCTTGTTGCACCAAAATCAGAAGCTCCTTCATAGTTTTTATTTTGATGTTAAATGAAGTTGTATACCAAAATCTGGCTAGCTGGCTTGGCAAAGGGCCAGGAGTGGGGGATCAACAGCCTTTTAATGGACTTATAAGGGTGTGATGAGGACTCCCTTCTATAATGGGCCCCAGAACAATTATTATAGGGATGACCCCTTCTAAAACAATATACTCTCGACACCCAAACAAGCAATAGCTAGGTAGAGAAAATGGGGCTTATTTGGTAGGAGTAAGAGAAGCCCAGTGACATTTAGCACAGTTAACTGGTTCACACTGCCCAGGAACTGAGATCAGCCAGCGTTGCCCTACAGCAAAAGCCTGTGATGTCAGAGGCCAGGTCTATGAGCACTTGCGACAGGGTCTTCTTGGCTGCAGCACCCGAACTGTGGAACTCCCTCCCCCTGGAGGTATGTATGATCTCCTTCTCTGTTTTGTTTGCTAGTTCTTGATGCATTTGATAGACCTATTGAGATTCTGCTTCTCTTTGTCTTCCACTATGGCAGAGGGATTTCATTATCTTTTGTCAACCTGTACTGAGAACTTCATGAAAAATTTAAAATAAAAAGTAAAAACAAAAGTCAGCCTTTCTCAGAAAGGACATTAAAAAAACCCACTGCCTAAAAGACCTCAGTGGTGAAAAAGCATCCAGACAGCTGCTGTGATGTTTTCAAGACAATTGTCGCCTCAATTTTCGTCTCTTTGCTGCTTTTGAATGATCCAAAACAGTGTGGTGTAATCTGCCACTTCTGGAATTATGCTGGCAGCTGCTTAATTTATTTGACTTTGGCTATTGGTTTTAGCCTGATGGTATTTTTTTGTGGTAATCTGCTTTTGACAGCACCTTGGAGCAGAAGGGCAAGGTAATAAGTCCTCATCATCAAAGCAAGCAAGGTCAAAACCAGAATGCGAATGAAAGAACATTCAAGGCAGAACGGCCACTCTTGCCAAAGTACTTACAGGAGCAAGCCCCGGGCACTCGTATACTGTGAAGTCTCCATCTTCATTTTCCTCATCGGATGATGCAGATTCTGGCAGTTTGGGCTCTTCTTTATGCCTACAGGTGGAAAAATTCCTAGATCAGGAGTGGCCAAACTGGGTCTTTCACACATATTGTGCGGCTCCCGGCAGGGCGGCTGGGGAAGCGAAGCGATCAGTCTTCCCTTCCCCAGCCAGAAGGCTTGAGTTGGGGGGGAAGCAGAGAAAGAAAGCAACTTGAACTTTAAATGTGTTATCAAGCCGCCCCCCCAGCGGCTTGGAGAAGGCATTTGTCTCTTTCAATCCCTTCTCCAAGCCAAGCCGGCTGTCTTGGGGTGTAAGGGGGCAGGGGTTGGAGAACACATTTAAAGTTACAGTTGCTTTCATTCCACCTCTCCCTCCTGCCTGCCCTTCCTCCCCATTTATTTGCTTTCTTTCCACCTCTCTCTCTTTCTCGCTGTTTTCCCCTTCCTCCCTCCCTACCCCCTCCCTCTTTCCACCTCTTTCTTTCTTTTCACCTTTCTTTCTTTCTTCCCCCATTTCTTTCTCTTTTTCACTCTCTTTTCCTTCCTCCGCCTCCCTAATCTATTTGCTTTCCACCTTTCTTTCTCTTTTTCTCTCTTTCTCCCTTCCTTCCCCCTCCCTCCCTCATCTATTTGCTTTCTTTGTTTCTCAATCTCTTTCTTTCTACCTCTCTCTCTCCTTCTCTCTCTCTTAGACAAATAGATATAATTAGCAAGCAAATAAATATCATTGGACAAATAAATATCATTATTAATATCTGGAGGGGAAGGAGTTTGTAAGCCGCTCTGAGACCCCTTTGGGTAGTGAAGGGTGGGGTATAAATCTAATCTCTTCTCTCTTCTCTTTTACCACTTTTGCTTTTATTTTTGGCAGTCTCATTTACTTTAAATAAAAAGCAAATTTACATATTTTCCAATAAAAATGTATGTGTAATATTCATGTCTTGCGGCTCCCAAGCATCTGATGTTTATTCTGTGTGGCTCTTACACTAAGCAAGTTTGGCCACCCCTGTCCTAGATGGTAGCAGGGACCATGAGAACCAACCATTTTCTACAGGTGCTTCTGTAGTGACATCACACTGTGGGGGATTCGGCTGCATTTTTTACTTATTTGTTTGTTTGTTTTATTTAATTTGTATCCCACCCTCCCCGCCAAGGCAGGCTCAGGGCGGCTTACAATTCAAGCCTGGGAGATTTGGGGTTGGAACCTGTGAAGGGGGGAATTTGGGGAACAATTCCACCTAAAATCTATGGTATCCCACAGAGTCTGCCATCTGAAGCTGCTGTTTTCTCCAGGGGAACTGATCTGTATAATCCAGTGGTGGCGAACCTATGGCACAGGTGCCAGAGGTGGCACTCCGAGCCCTCTCTGTGGGCACGCGTGCCATCGCCCCAGCCAGGCCCAGACCATCATTAAAGTGTCGAATTCTCTGCCAGATAATTTTAAGTAAATGAAAGCATTTGGGATTGCTTTCCTTACTTTGTTTGGATCATCTTAAGTTAATGTATGAGTTGGTTTTTCTAAAGTAAAACCTCAGCATTCAGGTTAAATTGCCGTGTTGGCACTTCGCGATAAATGAGTGGGTTTTGGGTCGCAGTTTGGGCAATCGGTCTCTAAAAGGTTCGCCATCACTGGTATAATCTGTAGATCTGTTGTAGTTCTGGGAAAACTCCAGGCCCCATCAGGAGATTGGCAACTCTAGAGGAATATGAGCTAAGCATCACACAGCCTAAACTTCCAGAACTGAACCTCATCATTGGCCATGAATTCACTACCATCATAAGCAGGGATGTTGCTTTATCCGTTGCGTCTCTGTGGTGCAAACCACGATTTGAAAACTGGAAAGGCAACCATGCTCTAAATACTGGAAGCTTAAATATGCACTGCACAAGGACATCTCTATCATTACACTATTTACAGGAAAGCAGCAAACCTTCCAGGGCTGAAGGAAACCCAGACAGTCGAGTCCTGTACACTCAAAACTAAAAAGAAGTGGAAGAGTGAGCTACTCACTTCTCCATGGAGAGCATTTGTTGCTTCTGGTGTTGGTAGTGGTACATCTGAGCACTCTGCGCCAACTTTTTGTCTCCTGGCTGGGAAAAGAAGAACACAAAACATGTGCATGCAGTTGCGTGATGAAAACTGTAGTTTCATGTTGAAAGTCAAAGGAAGAATATCCACAACATTGTTTCCCAAAAGCTTTTCTTAAAATTGGACACTCCTTTCACTCTTCCATTCAAAAAGCTTTAACATGTACAAGAAAGGGATGCAGGCTATGGCTCAGAGGTACAGCACCTGTTTTGCATGCAAAAGGTTCCGAGTTAAACCCCTGGCATCGCAAACTAGGGTTGCCAACATCCAGGCGGTGACTGGAGATCTACTGGGATTACAACTGTTCTCCAGACGACAGAGACCAGTTCCCCTGGAGAAAATGGCTGCTTTGGAAGGTGGACTTTATAGCAGTATACCCAACTGAAGCCCCTCCCCTCCCCAAATCCTGCCCTCCTCAGGCTCCATCCCAAAATCTCCAGGTATTTCCCAATCCAGAGCTGGCAACCCTATCACAACCTGAACTCAGATGTTGGAAAGTCCTACTTCTGCCTGAGAACCTGGAGAGCCACGGCCAGTAAGAACAGATAATACTGAGCTAGGTGGACTGGGGGCTCAAGTCTGTGTAAGACAGGTACAGACTTTACAACAGTGCTCAAGAATAGTTACCACCAGTTCTTTGAGGAGTGAACACCCCCCCCCAGTGTTTCTGCAGGAGCTGAAAGTGCTTCCTGCCACACCCAGAGCAGTGACTCATCCAGACACACATCATGCATGCCTCTTCCAAGTACCAGTAATTCCGCTGCACTGGGAATGACTGAGGGTCAAACTACACAATACAGTTTTTAACAAGTTCGGTCCGTCTTCCCTGGACCCATCTTCCTTTCCCTGAAGCCAGAGAGCAGCTGTGGGCACTGTCATTTCTAAAAGCCTGCAGGAAACCAGTTTAGCTTTGGACTGTGGTAAGGCAGAGGAGGTGCTCCTATCTTCCCCTTGCGCTATTTTCCCCAAGCCTGGGGGGGGGGGAGTTTTTTGCCTCATTTTGGAGCTGGAACCCAGAGATGATTTCTTAAGGTCCTACTATGTTGTCTGGCCCTGAATCACTCAAGCAGAGAGAGACTGGGGAGAAGGTAGAGCTAGAGCCATGGATCCTGCAGAGAGTCCCGGGGTGGGAGGGATATCTTGCTATGGGGAGCCTTTACTTAATTTTCCTTTATTATTGCAGCACTCCAGGGTCCTCTCGAGGCAATCAGTTTGAAATTGTCAAGGGGAAAATAGCATTTCATTTTCAAACAGAGAAGCACATTAAGTTTAGCACCTCAGCGGAAAGATTAAAAAAAAAATAAGATGCACAAGTCGGAGGGCATACCGAGATCTTATCGTATGACAGAGGCCCTGGTAGACTGTGAGCCGGGTAGTCCACTTTCTGTGCAAGCTGTATTTCCTTTTGCAGCCTGAGGAGAAGAAAATAACGTCACCTTTAGCCCAGCATCCTGTTGCCAACAATGGCCAGAGAGAGGCCTCCAGGAAGTCCTCCAGCAGGGCAGGAGGCCAACAGCCTCCCCCCCTCCTGCTCCTCCTCCCTCACAGTCAGAAACAAACTGCCTCTCACCATGGAAATCCCATTTTTATGGCTTCAAGGCAAGGTAGGTGAATTCTAGCAGACACATCCCTATAAAGCCAGTTCTCTTTACAGTATTTGCTAATGGGGAAGAGAGTGAGAGACGCAGTAGACGCAGGACTGGGATAAGAGCAGCTGCCCCTTGGCATCCATTTTCTCATCCGTGAACTGGAATTTTAGTGGCTTTCACCACGAGGCTGTTGCGAGGGCCAGCAAGGAGGAGACCAACACTCTATAAATGACTTTTTAAAGAGAACTGAGATTTATGTTTTCACAGACCCAATTTAGTTGCCCTGAACACTAACGGACTGTAATGTATTCAGAAGCTGCCATGAATGCATTAAGATGTATGTGAAACATTTCATAGGGAAGCAATGTTAAGCTTCGTCTTGGGCAGGGATTCAAGCCCAAGGCAAATGTGTCCAATCACGTTCAAGCAAGCTGTAAGCGGGAACAAAGGTGATTGGCTCTTATATGCTCAATCGTATTGGTTGTTATGTGTATAGTAGGCGTGGCTATATTAGCTGGGAAATGTTTAAATACCGAGCAGCTACTATGGACAAGCTGTTCGGGCTATCAGATGTTGTACCGTGTTGGAGAAGTGTTCGTGTTGAAGATTAAACTTGAGTTTTTGCTGAAATCACTCTCTGACTATTTGTTAAGCGCTGGACTTAACACAGACCCTTCTCAGTATGCGCATCATCACACACTCCATAGGGAGCCCTCAGTGCTGCTGAGAGCCAATTCATCAATTCCCCGTTTAAGCGAATCAGAAACAAACGGCAACCCCCCCAAAAAAAATGACTCACCCGCGGTTGCGTCTGATCACGCAGTGGCGGGCTGCCCCCACAGCTTCAAAGGACTATGTGGTCGCGCAAATCAGAGCTCTCTCAGCCCCACCTACTTCACAGCGTGTCTGCTGTGGGGAGAGGAAGGGAAGGCGATTTGTAAGCCGCTCTGCTACCTTCGGGTACCGAAGAGCAGGGTATAAAACCAACTCTTCTTCTACTCTTCTATCGAACAGTCCAAGCAAGGAGCTCCACAACAAAGGGTCAGGTTGCCAGGTCCTCCCTTCTGTCTAGCAGAAGGTCCTTTCTGGGATCTTTTACCATGCACACTTTGCACACTCAGTGTGATGATGTCACCTGGAAGTGACGTCATCACACTGGGGACACTGGGGGTGTCATTCTAGTTTTTGGGCAAAACTCTATGGTTTTTTGCCTTCAAAACCATAGAGTTTGCCTAAAAACTAGAATGCCACCTCCAATGTCCCTGACAAAATGACGTCACTTCTGGGTGACGTCATCACATTTGGGGTGTCTCCCAGCAACATCCCTGTTTGGGGGTGGATCTTCCCCCAGTCTGAGCCCTCAAAAGCGGGGGAACCCTTGCTGGGAACTGGAGGCTGGCAACTCTAACAAAGGGGCAGCCAATGGTGCTGCTTTCATGGTGTGGCAATGCATGCATCTTGACACCACATCTGAGGAACTGAGTTCCAGGCCCAAGCCTCTTTACTGCTTAGGCCCCTAATGCTACCAGTCCTGCTGAGGATTCTTGGGAAAGGTTCTGCAGGATGTCAAAGGCACAGCCACTGGAACCAGGATAAGAAACATCTCCTGGAAGCTTACCTGCACCAGCAAACGGCTGCCACAATCAGAGCAGAGATCCCTGCAATGGTGCACACTATTATCATACCTAGAGAGGACCCAAGAGACAGGGAAAGAAAGAGAGGGACAAAAACATTAGCAGCAGTGTATTGTCACAGTGATCCAGGTGCATCACAGTCAGGATTGGAATTGCCAGCTGATGGATTGAAATGTTGGGTTATCAGAAACATTTCTAGCCTGTGTGCATGTCTAGGACAAGTTGCAATACGGTGCAATAAAAGCAAGGCAGAATATGCTAAGAGAGTGAGTAGCTCAGTTTGCTTAAGTTGGATGATTGAAATTATAGTGTTCAGTTTTCCATGATGTGGACTCTATTATTTTTAATCACAGATTCCCCCCCCCCCAAAAAAGGGCCACACATCAATTAAATTTAAAAGGTAACAGAACACAGGACACAGATATATTTGCCAGGGTTGCCAGGTCCCTTTGTCAATCTGGCAGGGGGATTTGAGGGGTGTTCCAGGGGTGGGCGGGGACGTCGTGCAATGCGATGACACCACCCAGAAGTGATGTCATCGCATCAGTGACACAAACGGCGATATTCTCGATTTTGAGTGAAACTCTATGGTAAATTCGCCCTGAAATCATAGAGTTTTGCCTAAAAACCAGAGTGTCCTAACATGATGACATCACTTCTGGGTGGGGTTTCCCCTACTGGCCAGCTCCTCCACAGTGGGGAGAAGCCCCTGAAAGCAGGTGATTTCCCACTCAGACCTGGGGGCTGGCAAACCTACACAGGTAAGCTGTTATATAGAGCAGTAAACCATAGAATGCCAGAGAGAGAGGATGAAGAGGCCTTCATCGTAGCCTCCAGAAACACTTTCAGAGTCCCCATCATCCCAGGAAGATGTTGGCAACAGAATCGAGGTTCCCCCTCTCCTCCCAATGGCCTCCACGATGGATCATCCAGTTGCATCAATCCCTTACCAAGGATAAGCGCATCATTTGAAAACATGTGCAAAGACTCCACTGGAGAGCTCTTCACAGCCTCTGTGGAAGAGGGAGGGTGAGGCGTTGCAGGTCCTGCCCGGCTCTTCTGCGAGGACTTGGCCATCACTGCAAGAACTATGGGATGTTTACCTGCAGAGGTTGGAGTTTCTGTAGAAGATAAGTTACATCACAAGGGAGAGAACAAAGGGGGGCATTAATAGGTAGAATATTTCCGCCCACTATACTTTTATGCAGGAGAAGTTACAACCCGAACGACGAGAGGCCAATATTAAGCAATGAGTCAGAAATGGTCCAGGATAATGATAGAACGGATGAGCGGCCTTGCTGAAGCTAACCAGGCCTGGGTTTAGCCAGCAGCAGGATACGAGATTTCCTGGAAGCCTGGAAATGAGTTCCATGACAGAAGAAACCTTTATGCAGAGGGTCCTGGGTTCAATTCCCAGTTAAAAGGAGCAGGTGGTAGGTGATGTCAAAGACCTCTGCTTCAGACCGTGGAGAGCCACCACCAGACTGAGTAGACAATACTGACCTCAATGGACCAACGGTCTGATTCAGTATAAGGCAATTTCATGCATTCAAAAAGGAAGAATATCCAGTCCCAGGGCAGTGTCCAGCTTACCATCCTGACTGTGGCGCAAATGGACAGCATCTTGTCTGGATAGCATATCAGCTAGGAAATCAATTTCTTCCTCTGAGTTGGGAAAAGAAGATCGCCCTGGAAAGGAGGGGAAAATCCAAGCAAGGATTACCAACTTACATTTATACATCTTAAACTTAAACCTACTGTGCACATTTGTGAACTGATTCTTTGCAACAGGTTCAGGAAGAGAGAAAATAAGTGCTTCACCCAAGGCATATTAACGTACACAGTTTGCTGCCACAAGAGGAGGGGAATGACAACATCTAATCCCCTTTTGTAGCCATCTCAGCTCAGACAAATGATCCATCCACAGCCGTTAGCACTGACAGCCAGGGGTCATTTCGTAGAAAAAGAGATGCAGGCGCTCATTAGCATAACTCATTTGCATAACTCATTCGCATATGCCACACACCCCTGACATCACCGGAAGTGTGTCAGAAGGCAACAGCCACCGCTCAGGCTCCACTGGACTGTTTTGGATTGCTAGCTATGGGGGGGGGGGGGTCTGTCCTCCCAGGGGGACTTACATTTATACATCTTAAACTTAAACCTACTGTGCACATTTGTGAACTGATTCTTTGCAACAGGTTCAGGAAGAGAGAAAATAAGTGCTTCACCCAAGGCATATTAACGTACACCGTTTGCTGCCACAAGAGGAGGGGAATGACAACATCTAATCCCCTTTTGTAGCCATCTCAGCTCAAGACAAATGGTCCATCCACAGCCGTTAGCACTGACAGCTAAACAAAACCTCCATGTTCAGAGGCAGTATCCCTCTGAAAGACAGTTGCTGGAAACAGGAAAGGGTCACTGCCTCCATGTGTTGCTTGTCGTCTTTGTGGAGATATCGTTGTTGGCCACTACTGGACACAGGATGGTGAACTAGGTGAACTTTGGTCTTAACCAGCAAGTCTCTTTTTAGGTTTTCTTATGGTAGCTACTAGGAACAGCAGAGGCAATGGACCATGTGGCATGCAAGTCTCCCTCTGTTCATTATGATGTGCTTGCCACACACACACAAAAAGTGTACACGCTCATGACTGTCCATGAGCAAATTCATGCCTGGATTGAAAAACATGGGCCTCAACAAGAATATATTGCCACCCCATTTCACTGCACCTCTTCATTTCAGTCTAGTCATACCACAGCCATGTCTAAAGGCAATGCCTTGGCAGTGTCTAATTCCACAGGGAGCAAAAGCAAGCAGAGCTAGGAGATACCATTAAGGATAGCATCTGATGCTGCTATCCAAAGCAATCTGTCTGACTGAGAGTAGACCCTGAAGTCTGCAACATGATCCAACTTGCGCTCCACTTCATGGTGCCAAAAATATTACTCTTGCAGAAGACAGATACTTTTTGAACCATGATACACCCATGCGGACAAGGGTTTTGCAGCCACAAATGCAGAAGTCACATGCCCACTGTTGAGTTAACTCAGGGTACATGACCATCTGTATTGACCCCATCCTGTCAGAGAGAAGAAGGGAAACGAATAGGGTTGTCAGCCTACAGGTGGGGCCTGGAGATCTCCGGCTTTTACAACTGATCTCCAGCTGACAGAGATCAGCTCCCCTGGAGAAAACGGCTGCTTTGAAGGGTGGACTCTATGGCATTGTACCATGCTGAGGGCCCTCCCCTCCCCAAACCCCGCCCTCTCCCAGATCCATCCCCAAAGTCTCCAGGTATTTTCCAACCCAGAGCTAGCAACCCTAGAAACGAATGTTTGGAGAGCACATGGAACAAGACAGACTCTTCAGTCATTAAGACTTCCATTCTGAGCATCCTTAGCAACCAGAAATACTAACACATGGATTGCTTCCACACTGGGATTTTTCCACACATGGAAACTAGGAAGCCCCTGCATTAAAGGGGAATATCCGCATGAAGGCATGCTCATTCCAATCTGTGGGCTTCCCCCTTCAAACCAGATCAAAAATAAACCCTCATTGAGCCTGTTTGATATGGAACTTCCTGGTGGCTGGGGGGGGGGGGCATCCACCTGGAGGCTCCAAGTCCAGAAAGGGAGATGCAGCTAAGCTCAGTTTTCCAGATGGCAGGGGTCAGCTTGCTGTGGGGTGCCGTTCTCGCCCTCCTTTTAGTTGCTTAAAGGGCACTGTCCCTTTTCAAGCCCAGTCATGCTGTACCCTTACAGAGTCGCTGGGCTGAGAAAGGGATGGTTTCTAAGCTGCAGGGGAGTCCCCCAGGACAATTGCCATCACACACTGTGCATTTGCACACATGCGACAGTGGAAGGGGGGGGCAGGAGCAAGAGGTGAGGGTAGCAGCTGGTGAGGAATGCGCTTGAGACCCCGTTCTCACCACCACCCCTTGCTTCTGCCTCCATGCCAGCAGTGCATTTTTACACTGTACAGATGCAACTGTGGTCAGGTGTTTGTCTCTTTTCTAAAAATGGAGCATATAGTGAGAAAGTCCTTGAGCTTTTGTGCAGCCCTTGTGTAAGCCTCTGTTTAAATGTACACCACCACCTTTCGTAAAGGTTGGTTGCTATAGAAATCTCGTCCTCCCCCCCCCCCCATGTCTAATTTAGTTAGAAACACTGAATGGCTATTGGGAGCCTTGCCTGAGGAACTGAGCTACCTGGGATGCGCCCCGGAGTGATGGATTGCTAAGCTGTCCTGGCACCAGGGGGCAGGGAGACAGACCGGGCAAGAGCCAAGCAGTGTTGTGAACAGCATCTGCTTCAAAGTGGCAGAACTTTCTTTCAGAACTTAGTTACGGAGAGGAAAAGGTACACTTGTACCAAACCCAGGAAGGGAGTTTCAAAGTCAGCTCCACTGCTCTGAAGGTGATATGTCGCATCCTGACCCTAAGTTTGCATCTCATTTATTCAGGTTAGCTTTTTCAAGGGAGATGAATAAATTGGTGTTATCCCATCTATGTCTTGAGGGGGATAAAAGGTTTTAAGACAGGCTTAATATGTATCCAGGTTCCACCTTGACAGCTCTTTTCAATGACAGGGATCAGCCCCCAGAACAGATAATAGTGGTGGTATCTATAGCTATCTATGGTATCTATAGCCTAAGCCAGTACAAGATCCAGTCTGAAGGTATGAGTACAACCGTTTGACTGGTTGAAATAGGTTTGGTCAGTTGTCAAAGAATTATTATTGCTTTAAAAATATTTAGCCATTTAATACAAGAAAAAATGATACTTTTAATTCGACAGGTTTGATGTTTATGCTCTTGAACCATTCCTGTGAAACAACAAAATTAAGCCTCAAAAAAGCCATAATCAATTATTAGATTCAAGTGGGTAGCCACGTTGGTCGGAAGCAAACTTGATAGTCTGTTGTTATAACCTTTAACCATCTGAGGTAAATTTTCTCTGACGTAAAGTTTCTCCTTGCTAATAAATGGATGCTATTTTAAACACACTCACCTCTGCTTTGTGAATCCAGAAGCAGGTACTTGAGTACCCTATTCTTGACTTGCAAGCAAAGGAGAGCATCACAAGTATACTGCTATAGCAATATATGTACTATTGATTTTTTAAAAGCCAAATATCCCATTGGCAGAAGGAGCAGGGATGGGGAGGAAACAGGAGTAGACATGAAAGTCCAAAAATCCATACCTTCCCCTACATATGGTGACCAAACCCACTTTGAGCATGATCTTTCAGGAAAGATCATACCAAGGGAGGGTTTTTTTTGAGGAAAAAAATCAATGCAGCAGGGAAAAACCTGGAAGGTGGGTTATACAAGGACATGCACAAGCAGGAATTCACTGCATTTGGGGTGCAACACAGAGCAAAGCCTCCCATTAGCCAGGCTGTTGCTTGCAAGGTCTCATAACCAGAGCACACCATCCAGTTTTCTTTAGGGCGCATGAATGTTTCCAAGCATAATTCTTCTAAAACCACAGTAAATATTTCATGACCTTGTCAGCATTTTATGATGTGGAACACAGAAACCGTTTTCAATAATGCAACGTACACTGCGACGCAAAACACAGTCCAGACTTCCCTTCTCTCGCAGTGCTGCTCTTGGCTTTGCAAAGAAACAAGACTTTGCCCACTGAAGAGCTTTATTTTTATTTATTTTTTGTATTTTTGCATTTGTCTGTGTGTGTGCCCCTGCCTGGAAGTCATGGCAACCTCTGGTGACCCTACTGGGGCATGGAGGACGTTCAGAGAAGTAGCTTGAAAGCCTGCCGCTGCCTCCTGACCAGTGTTCCCTCTAAGCTGAGCTAGTGTGAGCCAGTTCACAGTTTTTTAGCCTCCGGCTCACACATTTTTGTCTTGGTTCAGGAAGGAGGGCTCCAGGGCAAACTAATTTACACAGTAGCCAAATCGCTCGCTCACAACCTTAATGCCAATAGCTCACAAAGTAGAATTTTTGCTCACAAGACTCCACAGCTTAGAGGGAACATTGCTCCTGACCCTGGTATTCTCTGGAGGTCTCCCATCCAAATACTTGCCAGGGTCGGCCCTGCTTAGCTTCTGAGATCTGATGACATCAGGCTTGCCCAGGCTGTCCAGGTCAGTCCCACCAAAGAGCTTTAGAAGCAAACTGACCACCAATGAATCCAGAATTTAATGTGCTTTAGCCCTTTGTAGCCCTCTTCTTCACCACAACAGGCAGCAACCAAAAAAACCCTGCCCCGCATTATCGTAGAGCTTATATGTTAGCTCGCTTTAATGCATTACCTTCTGAGGTACCGTATGGGAGATTTCAGAAAATCCCGTACTCTAACAGGCTCTGTGATTGTGGACTGCACGATGCAGAAAGCCTTGGACACGTTTTCTTGTATTGTAGTTATCACCTTAATATTTGATCCTTACTTATTATACCTTGGCTGTGAGATCAAGAAGGGCAACCTGACAAAGGCAAAATTCTTTTTCTATTATCCACTCAAAATCCAGCGATTACTGAAACTGTGGCCAAATTTTTACATCTTGCATCTAAAAGGTGAGAAATGTACCTGAATGCCGTGGTTAACGAATGATGGCTGTTATTTGGGTGTTGTTGTGCCAATAAAGGTAAGTTTAACTAAAAAAAAAACCCCAACAGTAGAGCAGCTCCCACTACCATATTAAAAAGCAACTCAAGCAACAAATCTGAGCCAGCCCTTCATTTCAGAAGATCTTTTCAAGACCAGTTTATAGCTTGTGGTAAGTAATAAAAGAAAGATGGTGTCCCTGAGCATGCACAAAGGGATGCCTCTCCCACTCAGCTGGGCCTTGGAGGGAGGATTCCGGGGCTAGGAGTTTTTTCATGGACATTTTAACATTCTAGTGAAGCCTATAAACCTGCCTCACATCCTTCATTTAAAAAAAAAAATCTCACGCTTGTTCCAAGGAGATCGCGGCAGAGTAGATGGCTCTGTAAGCTAGGTTAGGCTGTAAACTGTAAGCTAGGTTAGGCTCTGTAAGCTAGGTTAGACTGCCATCCACTGTACATCATTCCCAAGATGGAGATTAGAACCCAGACTCCAGTTCCAACTCAGATCACAGAGGGGCCATGGCTCAGTGGTGGAGCACATGCCTGGCATGCAGAAGGTCCCAGGTTCAATCCCCGGCATCTCCAGTTTAAAAGGATCTGGCAATAGGTGATGTGAAAGACCTCTGCCAGAGACCCTGGAGAGCTGATGCCAGTCCAAGGAGATGATACTGACCCTGATGGACCAAGGATCTCACTCAGTACAAGGCAGCTTCTTGCATTCATGCATGGATTCATCTAGCTCAGTAATGATCTGTGCCGCCTGGCAGTGATTCTCCGGACTTCCCCAGCACCAGCCACCCTTTCACCAGACATTGAAGGACTTTCTGCATGCAAAGGAAGTGCCTGGGCACCAAGCCCTGGATCCAGATGAATGTGTCACAGTCTAGGAACAGAGATAGGCCCAATACACTTCAGGGTATTGAAGAAAGGGAAGGCCGCCCACTATAGAGAATCGTGCAGAATGGCTGAAAAGCAGCTCAAATGCCAATCCCTTCACTGAGCTCTTATATAAGCCGCCCATCTGTCATTAAGAGTATCGCTTTCTATAAAGAGACGATCAAAAACGCCAAAGCACGTACTTCCTGTCACATTCCTCCTCATACCATGTTACCGATTCACAAGGAAACCATGCTCTCTTTCAAGACAGCCAGTAACAGTACCCGGATGTGCCCCACATTACAGGCATATTCACATGGCCAGATGTGTTCTTTGCATTCTGTGGAGGCAACATTAAGCCACCCACCCATCTCCAGAATGTTTTACTGCACTAGGCTAGACTGAGTGAGCAGCCCTGAAGTCCATGCTTTTCACTAGAAGTGCTGAAATTCAAAGCAGTTGATAGGCAGGCATAACAAGGAGTTACTAAGGGCAAAATTACTACTAAGGGCAAAAATCCAGGAACTTCAGAGTGACCATGACAAATGTCTCCATGGGAACCCCCTCAGGCTCATCCAGTTTCTCTGCTGGGGCCAAATGCAGTCCTGGAAGGGGGCAGTTTTAACAGAGAAAATGAAGAAAGGGGGAGAGTTAACCCCTACAGTGCCATGGCCCTGGTCCACACCAGCCACAATCCCCTGCAACAGCTTTTGAGGGCTAACACACACTCTAGGAAATACAATTACAGTTCATTTTTAGCCCAAAGATGGTATTCCAAGAATCTGACATCTCCCACCCAGTCTGCAATGCTTTGATCAAATCCACCCTACCTACTTGTGAAACACATTTCTATACCTTTCTGATGCTATTGCAACATACATGATGTATTCATGCCACTTTCTGCATCCTTGCAACTGTGCTACCAGGCCATCTAATTTGGTATTCTTGCAATATCTATCTTTTCCTGTGCCCTAGTAGCTAACCACGTTTGGCACCAAGATGTAGAAGCGGCTTGCAATTCTCTTGAGGCAGCACCTCATTAAGCAAAATATCCATGACTAACCCCCCCCCAAGATACAGTACAATTTGAGCATGCACCTGCACCTGTGCGCACAAGCATGCACACACACTGGTCTGTGGGGTACCTGTCTGCGAAATGAAGAAAAAAACAACAGCTAATACTGAGAGCATACACAGAACCTGAATTTAGAATCAGGCACAAAATTCCTGAAAAGAATGCTTCCTTTGGGACCCCAAAAAGCAAACAGTGAAGTGTTTCAGCCCTCACCCCTACCTACCTTTAGCCGCGTGTGCCTCCGAGACACATCTGCCATAGCCATCTTCCACAAACCGAGGGAGACAAGGTCCACAGGTGTGGGATCCGGGAGGGCACAATGCCCGCCTCTTCAGCGTGCAATCCAAGCTCCGAGGACACGAGTCTGTTAGGAACAAGAAGAGAAGAATGCATTGGAGGAGTGTGTGTAAAAATCCAAATTCCAATGCCTTCTGCCTCGCCAGCAGAGACAGGATTGGCTTCCAAGTCAGCAGATCAAATCAAATCCTCACTATAGGTATTTCAAATACCAATTAGGTAATTATTATTTGGATGTGGAATTGTATAGTACAGCCTGACCTCAACAAATCTCAGAAGTTAAGCAGGGTTGGTTCTTGGATAGAAGACCACCAAGGAACACTGCAGAGGCAGGCTATGGCAATCGCTTGCCTTGAAAACTCTATGGGGTTGCCATTCAGTCAGCTGTGACTTGAGGGCCCTTTACATGCACACTATTATTATCTAGATATTCACAACCTGTTTTCTCCCCTTTGGGGATCCAAAGCAGCTTACAACGTCGGTCTCTCCTCTGTTTCATCCTCACAACAACCCTGTGAGGCAGGTTTGAGTAAAAGACTGGCCCAAGGTCACCCAGTAAACTGCAGTCCCCACATGGGGTCTCACGGGGTGCCTGAGATCCTGGTATGGCTCTGTGACCACTACCTCATGCTGAGTCTCAAATCACACTCCACTGAATTCATGATAGAATGCTCTTTTCCTTTCCTTTAAAGAACATAAGAGACACTAGTGTTGGATCAGGCCAAAGGCCCATCCAGTCCAACACTCTGTATCACACAGTGGCCAGAAATACCAGTGCCATCAGGAGGTCCACCAGTGGGGCCAGGACATTAGAAACCCTCCCACTGTTGACCCCCCCCCAAGCACCAAGAAGACAGAGCATCACTTGCCCCAGACTGAGAGTTTCTATCTATACCTTGTGGCTAATAGCCACTGATGGACCTCTGCTCCATGTGCTTATCTAATTCCCTTTTGAAACCGTCCATGCTTGTAGCTGCCACCACTTCCTGTGGCAGTGAATTCCATGTGTTAATCACTCTTTGGGTGAAGAAGTACTTCCTTTTATCCGACTACTCAGCAATTTCATGGAGTGCCCACGAGTTCTTGTATTGTGAGAAAGGGAGAAAAGTACCTCTTTCTCTACCTGCTCTTATCCCCTTAGAAGCTCATTGATTCACAGATCTTGAGCAGCAGAAGATACTTGTATCTTCTTTTTTTTTGATGCAAGGGCTAAAAGGACTGAGACAACTTCTTCAGTTGCTAGAGAGTAAACTTAGGATCCTAATCGCTGAGCAAAAAAGCCAGGGTTTCCAGAGTGTAGGAGGGTGGCTTGATTAAAGGCTTAATACAGTGATCCCTTATATTCTCAAAGAGCCTGCATTGAAGCCAGGCATGGAAGGATGTATCTAACCTATCAGGGCCACAAGAGCAGATTCTGTCAAAATAAGGCCTATTCAAAAATCTCCCCTGTAAAACCATTGTAGGTATAATATTCAATCTTGCAAACAAAAAAGCTCTACAGCAGGGGTATCAAACATGCAGCCCAGGGGATGGATGAGGCCCCCGGAGGGCTTCTATCAGGCCTGCAGCGGAACTGGCCATCTCCTGCTTCCAGTTCTGCTGCTGCTGCTGCTGCATCATAGTTTGCTTCGCCAGACTCTCTTAATCACTCAGCCATTTCATGTTTTAACCTGGGCCCTAGACTCAGAACTCTGAGCATGAGATTTCTGTGGTGAATGTCAATAAATCAAAAGTAGGTTTGCAGTTTACAGATACACACCTGAACAGCATACTCAAGATTGCAACAGCACAGACATTTTGATGCAATAATTCAGAGCAAGAGGTGTCAGTTATCAGACACTGTTAAATAAACAAAATATTGCAAGAGTGCTAATGTTTTAAGCATGTTTTTATTTAAGTAAAAAAAATCTTTGTGTTTCTGTCCTTTATAACGCCGCTCCCTGGTATTACATTTTACTACACCAGTTTGGTGTAGTGGTTAAGTGCACGGACTCTAATTTGGGAGAACCGGGTTTGATTCCCCACTCCTCCACTTGCACCTGGCTGGATGACCTTGGGCAAGCCGTAGCTCTGATAAGAGCTGTTCTTGAAAAAGGGCCGTTACTGTCAAGAGCTCTCTCAGCCCCACCTACCTCACAGGGTGTCTGTTGAGGGGAGGGGAAGGGGAAGGGAAAGGAGTTTGTAAGCTGCTCTGAGACTGGGTAGTGAAGGGCGGGGTATAAATCCAATCTCTTCTTCTTCTCTTCTTATGACACATATGGCCCAGCCCAACAAGGTCTCATTTATGTCAGTTCCAGTCCTCTTGAGCTGTGGTGGCTCAAGTGGTTAAGACGCTGAAGCTGCAGGCTGTGGAAGGTCGGTAGTTCAGCGGTTCGAGATCCGAGTGTGCCACATGACGGAGTGAGCTCCCGTCTCTAGTTCCAGCTCCTGCCAACCTAGCAGTTCGAAAGCAAGAAATTGCAAGTCGATAAATAGGTACCACTTCAGTGGGAAGGTAACAGCGTTCTGTGCGCGTTGGTGTTTAGTCATGCCGGCCACATGACCACGGAAACGTCTTCGGACAGCGCTGGCTCTTCGGCTTTGAAACGGAGATGAGCACCGCAACCCTAGAGTCGGATTCGACTGGCTTTCAAGCAAGGGAACCTTTACCTTTACCTTTTACCAGCCCTCATAACAAATGAGTTTGACACCCCTGCTCTACAGTAACGTGGGATGCTAAGATAATACATATCGGGGGAACAGAATGCACCAGTAATAGACAGGAACTAAAAAATAAGGCCAAGGCCGATGGCACAAAATCAGGTAAAATTATATTTTATTACTCAGTTAAAATTCCCAAAAATTCCCTATGTGTTTCACCAACAGGATTCATGAGGGGAATCTGTCTTGCAGTAGTTCTTCAAAAACTAGTATAAGGTCAGTATAAGAGTATAAGGCCAGTCCTTCTGATGGCAGTTTTCCCCACCCACAGTGCTGAGCTACTGTGGCCACTATCCTATCTGTCAAATGCCTCCAGAAGGGAGCAGGTACCCAAAGCAAGCCTCCTTCCACATATCTCATGGCTAAGAATTCTAATGCTAAAGGTGAGCAAATCTTCACGATTTATTTTATATCATCGAAAATTTTGTGGGTTTTTAGTCTTTGCTTTGTGCTTTTGGTTCTGTAGACCAGCTGGCATTGCATACGCATACACAATTTAGATGTGCACGGTACATAATTTATACGCAAAGTGCTGATTTGCCAATGCAGAAAGTTGTAAAATGCATACATTTTCCGGGGGAGGGGGGGAGTCAGTGCAAAGAAGCAAAATGGTGCAAAAATAAAGAATCACAGTATTGATTCAAACAACAGTGAAGCAAAACTGAAACCCGGATCTGCAGGGAAGAGAAACCCGGAATCCTCTCTACTGTACACCAAAATGTTCTGCAAACTCGGTGAGCTGTGCTGAGAAGCAATTCATAGGAAGCAGAAGTTCGCCCCCATCCTTGTTCTTTCCCGGAACTGGTTGCTTCTTGGCAGGTGGTTCCCCCCCCCCCCAATTAGTTCTCATTAGATAAACAAGCTCATTTTGATGATGCCTGGCCTAGCAGCCGGCAGGATTTAATCTGATGAGCTTTGCTCATAATATTATTCCACATGCCACCGGGATGGGAGGAAAAGGGGACCGGAGGGAGTGCTCTCTTAAATGCTTTCCAGGAAGAATGTTAGAGAGCTGAAGGGGAGGTTTTTGAAGGGTTCCATTACTTCCAGACCCTGATAATTTGCTAATTCAGAGAAATAAAAGGAGCCGGTTTAAACAGAGACAAGAAGCAATGAGGGGAGAGGCTGCAGAGGCCATTCCACACAGGGACAACAGTGTTGCAGAAGAATGTGAGCTCTTGAAGGGCAGCTTTGGATAGAGAAAAGCAAGCCATGGGAAAGTGGCAGATGGAGATCCCCCTAACAAGGGCAGAGATAGAACAGGGGAAGTGGTTTGGGTGGCTTGCCCCCAAAAGCCTGCTCCCCCCCCAACTGCCTGCCTCCGTCATCTGAACCCCACGGGAGTCTTGCACAGGGTGCCGAGTTCACGAGGGCAGCTGCACCACAATGCCAGGTTGTTGCACTAGTGGGACATCCCTGAGTTCTCTCCCCCATCTGAGTGGCACTAAATCTCATGAAAAAGCTTGCGCTGAGTGACCCCAGACGTCTCATGGCTCTTCACAAGGTATACATGGAACGATGCCACTTTGCATGAACGGGAAACTGGGACTGTGTCATTTTCTTGGCTCACACTCTAAAGCCTTCCAGTTTCAAAAGTGAATAATTTAAGCTTAATCCACACAACGCAATTTAGCTAAATTCTCCGGGGTACAATATAGGATGCTTTCGGAGTGGAACACAACCAGCTCAGACTCTGTGGGCACAGCTACGCCGCAGATGCACATCACTTTAAAAACAGGAGCTGTCATGGCTTCTCCTCAGAGACTCCTGGGAACTGTAGTTCTGGTGAAGGTACTAAGTGTCAGGAGAGACGAAAGAACCAGATATATATATTTCCAAAGTCTCCCTGGAGAGGTGGCATTACTGTTAAACCAAGTCTAAAGTTATGCCATTTTCACACACTGGAGAGTCAATGCGGTGTAGTGGTTCAAATGTCAGAATATGACTTGAGACTCCTGGTCTCAGCAATGAAGCTTGATGGGACAGTCGCTCCTCCTGGCCTAACCTTCCTCATAGGGTTGTCAGGAGCATACAAGGGAAGAGACTGTGATGGATGGATAGCTCCGTGTGGCAGCGACCCCAGGCTGTCCACGGAAGGAGCCCTTGCTCTGTTGACTGGCTGAGTTCATTTCTAGCCATATTCTTCCACAGCTCATGCTTGGCTATCTGGTTCTAGCTGAGACGGCCACAAAAAGAAGAGGTAATTGGCTTTGCAGGAGGAAAACTGGAATACAAATTGCACCACATATGCACCTAGGGGTGGGAAACCGGCCATCAGGGGAGAGACAGGAAACGTTATGGCCGAGAGTTTCTGGCAGGTACAGAAGTGACTCAGAAGGCAATGGTCCAGAGTTCCTCTCGGACAAGTCAGGAAGAGAAGGAAAGCCTGCACTGCATCCTCCTGATAGATCAAGAGGCCCCATCTGGAACAGAGATGCAAGGTTTCCAGAAATTTTAAAGCCCCCCCCGGGGGGGGGACAGAAGAGATAGGAAAAAAGTAAAATATATGCAATATTTTAAGAACAAAGCCCTGGTCCTGCCTTTAAAAAAAAACAAAAAACACCACTCTGTGTGTATGGGCGTGCTTGTGAGCCTGGAAGCCATAGTGACTTCTGGCAATCCCAAGTGGGGCTAGGACATTTCAGAGAGGTGGCTCTGTGTCCCAGCCCTGGTATTCGTTGGAGGTCACCCTTCCAAGTACTTGCCAGGGTTGGCCCTGCTTAGCTTGCAGGATCTGACAAGATCAAGTTTTCCTGGGCTATCCAGGTCAGGGTACCTTGGTCCTGCCTTAATTCCACCCCTACCTGGGTTCAGGTTCTAAACAACTATCCCCCCCCCCCAAGCAAGCTAAGTAGATTTTTAGCAGCCCAATTAAGGTTCTAATAAGGTAATCAATAGCCATTTGCACATTCTTCTTTTGCAATTAGTACAATAATCACACTACCATTTATAAAGCAATTAAACTTGTATCCTACATTACTGGCTAACAATGCTGGAAATTAGTTTGTAAGGGAAAAGAGGTCTCTTTTATCTTTGTAAACACCAAACCTTCATAGCCTGGGTGGGTTTTTTGTGTGTTTTTAAAGGGTTAGACACATTAATGAAGACTGTTCTACTAAGAATGATTAGCTGTGATCAATGTTCCCTCTAAGCTGAATTAGTGTGAGCTAGCTCACGGTTTTTTAGCCTCTGGCTCACACATTTTTGTCTTAGCTCAGGAAGGATGACTCCAGAGCAAACTAATATATGCAGTAGCCAAATTGCTCACTTACAGCTTTAATGTCAGTAGCTCACAAAGCACATTTTTTTTCTCACAAGACTCCACAGCTTAGAGGGAGCGCTGGCTGTGATAGCTAAACGGAACCTCCATTTTCAGAGACAGTCTACCTCTGACTAGACGAGGTGTTGTTGTTTTAAGATTAAGGGCCCACAAGAAAGAGTCACAGGCAGCTGCCTGATACTGAATCAGACCATTGGTCGATCAAAGTCCATGCTGTCCACTCAGACTGGCAGTAGCTCTCAGGGTCTCAGGCAGAAGTCTTTCGAATCACCTACTACTGGACGCTATTTATCAGAAGATTGGCACCCATATCAGAAGATGACAGGGATTGAACCTGGGACCTTCTGTACACAAAGCAGATGTTCTGCCACTGAGCCATGGCATTTGATTTGATTCCTGAACAGTGCCTGGACAACAGTGTGTGTTTTTACAGATGATGACAACAACCAGATGCTGCTGACAAACATTGAATAATGTCTATCACTTGCATACTCTGCATGTGAACTTTCTAGGGGCATCTGGCTGGCCATAGTGGGCAAAGGGACGCTGGATTCAGTGTATCTTTGGTCTGAACAAGCAGGACAAAGTTCTTCAGCAGAACTGGTTTGCACTTTCTCAGCCTCTCTCCTTATGAAGGTGCCCTATACCAAGTCTTGCCTTTGGTCCTTGTACTCCATTACGATCTCCTGTGACTGGCTGTAGCTCTCCAAGGTCTCAGGCAGAGGTCTATGTTCTTATAAGGTCTGAGTTCTTATAACTGGAGCTGCTGCTGCCGGGGATTGAACCAGGGACCTTCTGCAAGCAAAATCGGGGGGCTCTACCTTCTCCATCACACACACCCATTTCCACTGTTTGTTTTCTAAGCAGTATCAGAAGGAATGGATGCAGACGGGACCAGGTAAGGACACTTCATCGAGATAGCCAGAAGCAGAGGATTAAATGGATCCTCCATGTTTAGTGGTAGTATAACTCAGAATACCATTTGCTGGAGGCAACAACAGGGAATAGTTTTGGCTTCTGTGCCCTTTCTGGTGAACTTCCTGTGAGCCTCCAGCTAGCCACTGTGGAAACAAGATGCTGAGTAAGCTCAAGTCTTCTAGTCTTTGCTCCACCCTGGCTGCAAATGGCCAGATAGAACAGCTGACTTTGGTTACTCCCAGGGCTTTTTTGTAGAGAAAGCCCAGCAGGAACTCATTAGCATAATAGGCCACACCCAACAACAGAAACGCATTAGCATATTAGGCCACACCCCTGACAGAGCAGCTCATTAGCCTATTAGGCCACCCCCCACATTACCAGAAGTGTGGTCATTCAGCCACACCCACCTTTTGCTTCTTATTCTGTTTACCTTGTTTGTTGTCAAAACCCAGGGCTTTTTTTGTAGCAGGAACCCTTTGCATCTTAGGCCACACACCCCTAATGTAGCCAATCCTAATGAGTTTTTGCTGTTGGGTGTGGCCTATTATGCTAATGAGTTCCTGCTGGGCGTGGCCAACTTGGGAGCCAGCCAGAACTCCGTTCCTGTGCGTTCCTGCCCAAAAATAGCCCTGGCTAATACTAGAGAGAACAGCAAAGAGCCCAACTAACTTTAAAAGGCTCAAAGATGGAGACTAGGTGGTTAGCAAAGGAAGAGGAACAGCGACAGTTTACAAATAAAATCACAACTGGCTTGTGAGCAGCAAGGAAACCTTATAGCGGCCACTAGGGAAAACCTTGCTGGGAGAGGCACAGACTAAGAACTTCTACTCTGCCACTGCAGGAAGCAGCCGGGAGCTTCCCATCCTGTCATTGTGTGCAGAGAAGTCCAGTAGCGCCAGAACAATAGCTGTTGGGCCTTGGCAGAAGCCCAGCCTCACACACTGAGCCTGAAACACAACAGCCTCCCCAAGAAAACTCCAGGTCTGCTAACAGGAGATGTTCAGCTTCAAAGCTGGGCCATATTAACGCCTTAGCTATAAAGCAGCGCACAATCTGAAACATGATCCAGAGGACCACTACCATCCTGCAGTGCTGCAAAAGACATAGGGAGGGAGGGTAGATAGTCCAAGCGCTCGCAGTGCATGTCACTGCAAGCTGCAGAGGGTTGGGGGGGGGTTGGTACTATTTTTGTATTTTATGTGTGTATGTGCTTGTGAGCCTGGAAGTCATGGTGATTTCTGGCCACCCCCAGTGGGGCTAGGACGTTTCAGAGAGGTGGCTTTGATATTACTTGCTTCTGAGTCCTGCCTCTGGTATTCCTTGGAGGTCGGCCTTCCAAGTACTTGCCAGAGTTGGCCCTGCTTAGCTTCTGAGATCTGATGAGATCGGGCTTGCCTGGGCTATCCAGGTCAGGGCCACAAGCTGCAGAGTTCATTTGCAAGTTAAAGGAAGACTCACTTAGCTAAGGTCAAAACTCAAACGGCTCCCTCTGGGTTGCCACTGTTCCTATTTTAGATTGGCTTGCCTGTGGCAGCCCTTCGGCAGAACTAGGATCGCCTTCAGGCCCAGCTTGAATGGCTGGGTTAACTTTTCAGTGCCCTCCACACACAACAAGCCTAGGACCACCTCCTTTTTGATGACTCCCTCAGAGTCCCGCCTCATGTAAATGAAGATGAGGTCAGAAGGAACTGTTTCGTTCTTCTATACATAGGGCTGCCAGGTCTCCCCTGGCTACCGGCAGGGAATGGGGGGGATTGGGTTGCCAGATGCAGGTTGGGGAAACTCTTAGAGATTTGGGGATGGAGCCTGGGGTCAGTGACATCAGCGGGGTACAATGCCATAGAGTCCACCCTCCAAAGCAGCCATTTTCTCCAGGGGAACGGATTTCTGTAGTCTGGAGATGAGCTGTAATTCCAGGGGATCCCCAGGTCCCACCTGGAGGCCGACATCTTTATTTGCAGCACAATTCTAAGTAGAGTTGCACCTTTCTAAGTCCATTGAAGGGTATAATGCTGTTCAGAACTGCAGTGTCAGGATCAGAGCAATCCCTGAAGGAGATCTTGTCCTCTCGAATGTTCTACCTGAGATGGTCAGGAAGCTCCTATCTTGATTAGGGTTTTGGGAAAAGATGTGAAAACTCGATCCTCTGTGGTGAGGCCAAAAGAACAAACAAAAGAATCAGCCCAGCTGCCAGCCCCAGCAATTGCATCCGTCTCTCTCTACCTCAGCTTCTCAAGCCTATATGAAAAGGCAACCGACCCAGAAAATCCTCTGCCTGCCTTCCACTATGCTAAGTTGGCCGAGAAGCAGAGGCAACAGAGTTGCCCAGATCAGGCGAGGGAACACAGAAGTCAAGGCACCTCCCTGGAACGGGCCACGTCAGCAAGAGGGAAAACACACAAACACACCCCCTCCAGCTCAGCCATGGATCTTCTCCGGAGTGCTGCCTCTCCAGAGAGCCCCCGGTTGGTCAAGGAGTCTGTGCAAAGCCTTTGACAACAGCCAAGAAGCCTGCAGGGCAGTCTGTGAAGAAGAGACACGTGGAAACCAGTGTTCCCTCTAAGCTGAGTTAGTGTGAGCTAGCTCAGTTTTTTAGCCTCCAGCTCACAGATTTTTGTCTTAGCTCAGGAAGGGCGGCTCCAGAGCAAACTAATTTATGCAGTAGCCAAATCGCTGGCTCACAGCTTTAATGCCAGTTGCTCACAAAGTTGAAGTTTTGCACACAAGACTCCACATCTTAGAGGGAACATTGGTGGAAACCCATTTCCCTGTTTGGGCCAGACCCCGGCTGTGAACATCCTGGGGTCAACCGGCCAGAACTACGGCCATTCCTCTGCCTTTTGGTAGAGGAAAGTGCCCATTGAGTCACTATGAGAAGAACAGGGGTGGTTTGCCATTGCCTGCCTCTGCGTAGCAACCCTGGATTTCCCTTGAGGGTCTCCCATCCAAGTACTGGCCAGGGCCAACCCTGCCTAGCTTCTGAGACCTGATGAGATCAGGCTAGCCTGGGTCATCCAGGTCAGGGCTTGCTGCCTTTTAGGGACACAAAAATGGTTGGAATCTCTGGTTTTGATGCAGCCAGGAAGCACTATCAATGTAGCAGAGTGCACCGAGCTTAGGTGCTGAATGTGCTAGCAAGCTTATAAAGTCACACAGAGCCAGTAGTCAGATTTATAGAACTACTGTTCTACGACTGTTACCATCTGTCTACGATTATTACTATCTGTCCTAGCCCTTATTACCAACTCGTCGTGAGTGCAAAAATGGTGGTACTGCGTGGAGCTGTGGCCACTAAGGATACCATCCTGGTGATGTCATCGGTTCCCTTGTTAGTTGTTGTGGAGACCACTTATGTTGCACTGAATGTTTTTAAAATGCAGTTTTAATGTTTTATGTATTGGGCATTGGCCCCATCTGTACGCCGCCCTGAGCCCGTTCGCGGGGAGGGTGGGTTATAAATTTAAATAAATAAATAAATAAGAGTCCTTTGTTATACAGAATTCCATTCTAGACAGGATAGATAGGAGATAGGGAGAGAATCTAAGCTAATTAGCTAGGATGGACAGAGATGCAGGGGAAATGCGCCCTGCATCCATTGCTCCCTCTTTGGTAGAGAAGCATGTGTGTGTAGGAGAGAGGTGGCAAGCTGGAATGAAGGAAACATGTACTTAAGAATAGCATTTTACTTCATTCTACTTCAGATAACAGGAAAGAAAGGATGCTCTGTGTCCCGACCCCTCTATCTGACTAAATCTGTGGTAACCTCCAGAAGTCTGAGGCATGAGACAGCACACAGACCTTCCTTTTCCCAACAAAAATCGCCTCAGCTGGATTCATCCAAGCACCCAAATAGAACAGGACTCAATCGCCAACACTGCTCTTGGAAAGATCAGAAGAAAATAACCACACTACATTGCTTGCCTGAAAAATCTGGTCATCCAAGGCTGACAGCCTCAGGACACGCAGACCGCATCTGTTAGCCCTTTTCTATACCACATTTTGATCCCACCTTTCCAAGGAGCTCAGAGCAACTTTCAGGACTCTCTCTTCCTCCATTTTAACAACCTTGAGAAAGAGGTGAGATGAAGACGAAAGAGGGTTTGGCCCAAGGTCACCTAGGAGCATCAGGGCCAAGTAGGGATCCTTCCTCAACCCTGAGTTCCTACCCTGCCACACCCACTAACCAAGACCTCTGTGGGTTTCCATCAATCCCTCCCCCCTTTCATGTCAGACTACCACTTGGCTGTGGGAAATAACTACCCATCATCAGCCAGATTTTCAGCACAATTTGGCCCCAGAGCAATGTGGTGGATAGGCTGGCTGGATCAACTGGGAGGGGGGCCTTGATTCATATCTCCACTGGCCCTTGCTGTTGTTTGAGCCAACCGTTCTCCAGCTCAGCACTAAACCAAAAAAAAGTATTTTTTTTTTAAAAAGCACTCAGCAGTAGTAAACTCAAACAACACTCTCACTGTGAATGGTGACTAGTCACTCTTCACACCACCAAAGCAGTGAGGTCGGAAGAGACAACATTTGAAAGGTGTTGAGAAATTAACAGACCATTTGTGGGATCCAAAACAGGATACAGCCAAACAGTTAACACCTCAGCAGA